AAATTGATCTGGTAGCAACCTTCTTCTTTGCTCTTCGCGCATACTTTGGTGTCGTGTGTACCTAAAACATTTTTATATATTTTTTTTAATGTTTGACATAAAAAAATTCATTCCATATTAGCTTTTAATGTATACATGCGTGAAATGACTACGCAAAAACTGTGATGGATTACGAAACTTAGGGCTACCGAGGGGTGTAACTTCATTATCATCCAAAACATCTTCATCGAAGTGATTTGTATTCCGCCCCCTTCGTCTAACACCTCTTCATCTAACACCTACATTAATACCTGATAATTATTAATAAAATATACATATTTATTAACAAATTATATCATAAATATAGGTATCACTAACCTTTTTCATCATCATTATCAAAGGGCACTTGTTTATTTAATCCGTCGTCAAAACAATAATTTGTTTGAAAGTTTGCCGGTTCATCAAAATTTATGTGGTTCCATAAAGTTTGCTCATCCACTTCTTCCACGTTCACCTCGTTGCGTTGTCAGTTCAAATACACCTCTTGTTCGAGTGCAATTAACCGACTGGCCAACTCTTCTAAACTTGGTTTCCCACTTTGTCTTGCTCTGGCTTCGGATTGTCCACTAGACGATGATTCGTCTTGCCTCCTAAAATGTTTCTGTACCGGGGATGGAACTGAAGGCGGTTCACCACACACATACTCTTGACATGCCATATAATAAGAATATATTCTCTCCTTATCATCGATGTCATTCTATGTCTTGGTCTACGTCCCTCCTAAACCAAATAAACACATTTATAATGTTAGTAAAAGTTCAAACAAAATATTTAAATAAATAAAAAATATATACAAACCTTTGTCACATCGAAAATCTTGTTCACATCAACCCATTTCAATTTTTTTTATTGTACTCCAACACTTCATTCGAGGTGTATCTTTGTTCATACGCAACGCATAAGCACCTCAAACATATGGAAGCATCTCATAAATCCATATCTACAATTTTTGCAATTATAATAATAATGATTAAAACAACTAACATACTTGTTAAATGTTATAAATATATAAATATTTAAATATGTATACCCTTAATGGTGCCGTAAATCCTGACACCGAATATTTGAAAGATTGACGAGGCTTGAGTAGTGATAAATATTTATTGATTTTGTTCCACGTATCCTAAAGATCATCGTATGTGAACTACCACAAGTAACTACCCCAAGCAAAGCTACAATATAAAACTTTACCATAAAAAATATAAAACTTCAAATTCCACAAATAATACATGTTCCACACATCCAAGTTCTCAGCAACACAAAAAAAAACCTATTGCTCACGATCATTTACTTCTTTCCCCCAAAACTCTTCACACAAAACGTATATGAGACATGCTCTCACAACATAATCTTCGGTAACTGCTAAGAATGGCTGATTTAAAATGAAACTTTTCAAATCATAGATTTTCACCGACCTATTTGTGTGGTTCGGAAAGAGACATTCCCGCAATAAACATCTTTTTTTACTACTAAGGCTTTTTTTCTCTGACACTCTTTTTCCTATCATTTTTGTATAAACTCCTAAATTAATTCCGGTTATCCAACAAAACTATTCGGTGCCATAAACCATTTTAGTATCCCCCACTTTAAAATACAACCGCTTTATGCCATCTGGAGATACTACTGCGTCTGATTGTATCTGATGAAGAAACATTTTACGAAATAGCAAGCCGTCCCCTTGTAATTGAGGGACGTCCAATAAATAACAAAAAACAGTTCTTCAAAATGTTTCTCGTCGAGCACCCTTCAATACTTCAAATGCTTCCCATTTATTACATTTCGATCCTTTTAGATTGACCACAACTTTAACATTAAGATTTTTAGAATTGTGCTGAAATAAAATAAAATGTTAGAAGGGTATAAAACATTAAAGGAAAGTAAGTTGTTATTTCTAACTATACTAAATATTAACAAAACTGTCAAAAAATATATTATTATAACAAAAAGGCAACAATCTACATTAAAAACTATTAGATTTACACAACATCGGCACTTACAATTAGAAATAAACCAAATGAATATTTATAACGACATCAAAATTGCATCATAAAGACACATACTAGCATGAGAAATAAACTGAATGTATATAAACCATATTTCTATAATACAAATATATGCATATTTATAACAACATCAAAAATTAAATATTTATAACAACATAATAATAGCATCAAAAATGCATATTTATAGCATAAACTATATCTATATAAACGATATTAGTCAAAATTGCATAATATTTTTTATATAATCTTTGAAAACCAAATGTACAACCTCACAAATGCAAAGGTACAACATCAAGAAGCAACAAAAATCATTTTTATATATAAAAAAAATCATATTATTACAACATATTAACACATTTATATAACAAATTAACATAAAAATACAAAATGTACAACCTTATAATGCACAATTTACGCATCATGCACTTGTACAATCATAGATCCAAGTATGAAATGCTATTAAAACATCAAGGCTACTTATGAAATCATCTAAATATCAAATATAACACATAGATCTAAGAAGTCGGAGGGGGCAACACCTTCAATTTTCGTCTTTTTCAAACTTTTTCCGGATAAATCGTAAATAAACAAAGCCTAAATTTGATAAATGATGATTAAAACACAAAATGAGTAAAGATCTTACCATATTGTCGGGATTGTACATAAAATCGTCAATAACTACCGATTTTCGCCTCCAGAGAGAGTTCTCCCAACAAAAACCTTGCAAAATGAAAGCTCAAAAAAAAGTATTTATACCCTTAAAAAGGCAAAATCGCAGGTGGTCACAGATGGACTTAGTCCATCTGCGAACGTACAAGTCCTTTATGCGTGGCCGTGCCTTAGTATGTTATACGTTTGCAGGTCAACGAAAGAAAATCGCAGATGAGCTTAATCTATCTGTGATTTTGGTGGCAAATTTTGTAATTTGAGTTTTTTTGGCTATTTTCTGTAAAGTTATTAAGGTAATTGGCTAAATTTGTAATTTCCTCTAAAATTTATATTTCTATCGTTGCATTCCAATAATTTTTCATGCTAACATCTCTAGTTTCATAAATTTTTGATTAATAGTATATTTTAATTAATATTACATGTATAAAATAGTTTTAAATTTTTTGATTAATAGTATATTTAATAAAAAAAATCTTGAGTGTGAGAATCTGTATGCTTTTATAATTATTTTTATAAAAAATACTACTATGCCAATTTATATGTTTTTATAATTATTCAGCAACTTCATCCATCACTGTATAAAACATCAGGGTAAAATGGTCATTTTGCATGAGTCAACACATTCAGTCAGATTTACAATCAAACAACATTGTTTCTTACTCAGTCAGAATTTATTACTCAAACAGACATTTCTCAGTTAGCACTTTCTAAATCAATAACTATCAAACAAGTCCTTAGTGAGCTAACTCCATCAATTTTAAGTAATCCAAGGTGAACACACATAGATGACTTTCCATGCCCTTAGATATTTGAAAATTTCCCCAAAACGATGTTTGTTCTTGCTGTCAAATGGAGGATTGGAACTTCAATCCTATTTTGATTCAAGTTGGTTGAGTTGTTTGTCCACTAAACGCTCTTATATAGGATACGTAATCAGCCTTGGTGGGTTACAAATTTCTTGGAAGACGAAGAAACAAAACATTGTGTCTTGTTCCTTGACAGAACTAAAATATAGGGTGATGACAAGTATTGTATGTGAAATATTGTGGATGTGATGACTTTGCTAGGATTTAGATGCCATACAAGTGAGTGCAACTTTGTTAATGCGCGACAACAAAGCTGCACGACATAGCTCGGTTAACCGGGTTCACCACAAGTATACCAAACATGTAAAAATATATTGTTATTTTGTTCGTGAATGTGATAGTAGTGGAGAAGTAAACCGTGTGATTCTCTTCCGAGTATAAACCATCAAACATTTTTACCAAAGCTCTTAGGTCTGAAGATTTTCAATTTTTTTCAATTTCTACATGATAAGTTGGGTCTTCGTGGCCTAAGTGTCCAACTTAAAGGGAGTGTGGATATACATTCAAGATACATAAGTTATATACTTCAATTATTTTGTTACAATTGTGTCTTCTCATAATTATCTTGTTAAGTTATTCCTATAAATACTGGATTGGTGTTTAGTTAGACGTTAGTCAATGAAAACAATTACCATTCTAACAACATTTTTGGCCGATAACCTTAACCCGAAATTTCTTATTTCGCAGGACCACTACAAAATGACAAAACGATACATTTTGTATCATTTTGATAATTTCATAGCGGACCTTTTGAAATTCGTATTAGTGTTACATCTACCAATTATTATATATATATATATATATATATATATATATATATATATATATATATATATTAAAGTTATGAAAGATTTTAACAATAAAGTGACATCTTTTTTGTCAATTTTGGTCCTCCAACTTACAACATTGACCATTCATCTTTATGCTTTTTTTCACAAACAACACTTTCACTTTGGTTTGAATTTTTCATAACCCTCGTTTTTTATTACATATTATTAGTATTTAGTCTTTTGGCAGAAATGGTCCCTCATCATTATTATTATTATTGTTAGACAAAATTACACAATTGGTCCCTGTGGTTTACCAGATTTAACATTCTCTTTTTGGTTTTAAATTAATGTTTTATTTATTAGAAAATACCCACCCAATACCATAAACCCACCCACCATCTGCCATCACCACCACCACCACCACCACCACCGCCAAAATTACATAAATGGTCCATATGGTTTACCCATGGTGACAAATTCAGTCCCTACTACCTGAAAAGACCAAATTACCCTCACATTAACGGACAAAAAGCAACCAGCATGCTATACCTTCCGACCCCAGCAATGCCGGAGAATCTTTTCTAGTTTTGTATTAAACCATGAATATGATACAAACCATTGATAATATCCGAGCATAAGATTGAAATTTGAGTTTAATATATGTCAAGGATCTCGAGAATCGAACGGTTACAAAGTGGACACGAACCTCGATTCAACCATAACTCCCTCGAACACACCCTACAGAATGTGTGTCCACACGGTATGAATGCTGCACCCTTCTTCCTTCTCATACACACGCAACACACAGGATCCATCCCCCCTCCTTCCTTTTCATCGTGATCGTCCGTTTCCTCCAGCAATCTCATCAACGACACCCTCGCCGGCGTCACCGGTATGGTTGTTGTCAGCCTAACGTCGTTATCATTGGCAGAAGTCAACGAGTCGCCACCATTAGCTGCCAGGGTGGTAGGTCGAGACTGCCGTTCGGCTTCCAACACGTCGGCGAGACTCATACGTGGGGACGGTAGAAGGCAGTCAGGATTTGAATTCGACTCCGGTGGGGTTTGAATTTCATCTGTTAGCTGATTTGGTAGGTCAACTGGATCATCGCGGACGCTGGCCTCGTCGTCTTCGTCATCGTCGTCGCCGTCTCTGACGCTCATGGTGGAGGGTTCGATGTCCCAAGTGGACCCACAACAAACTAGTCCTACTCCTAGCCGCTCTTGGAGGGTCCTCCGTCGCCGGAACCGATCAACGCCATCCATTCTTCTTCCCCCTTTTTTTTTCTGTAAAAACACAGTAGTTAGTTCGTTTCTCCATTACCCATAAAATCAAACGCAAGTTGATTCATTACCCACAAAAAAACGCAATCGAATTCTTGAAATCGTATAAATTCAGCTGAAGAATTCAAAAACAAACACAAAGAGAACGATGAATTAGATTTAAACTAGATACCTGTACAACAAAGTGAAATCACTTGAATTTCATCAGCAACTGCAAAGCCAATTGACAAGGGGACTAGCAAGCCACCATCATCGCCGGCGGGTAGTCACCGGTGTGATTCAAATGTAAAAGAGGGATTATAAATGGGGGAAGAAGGAAGTCAAAAGAAGGTAAGGAGAAAAGGAAAGGAGTGGGGCCGATTGTGAGATCATTGACAGCTCCATTAATTGCATTTTAAACGAATTTCACAATGAAAAGTCATGGGAGATGAATCAAGACCAATTACAAAACGGATGATAAAAGAAGAATATGTGTAAAGTGTATGGGTTTATTTGTAAAATTTTAGGTAAATACATTTAGACCCCTTGAGTTTTCATTCATCCATAAAGGCCCTTTGACATTTAAAATCTTCTTCTCGTTATCTTTTGAGCCTAATATGAGAACTACACCTCAGAGAAACGAGGATGCGTGTACAAATGCATTTTTTTTCTTTTTTGTAAATCATGATTAAAAGCAGTAATTAAGGGTTAATATGTTGCTTAAAAGTGTTAAAGGGGGTCAATTAGTATTAATCTTGTAAATTAGGGACTCGTATATAATTTAGTGGTGGAGTGAGAGTACAAATGTACAATTGTACAAAAGTTAGTTGCTTCCCATAACTAAGTGGAGAACGGAAAACGAAGTTCTTTTTGCCATATGGCGCGCTTGGTCTTGTTACAAAGCCAAAGTTTACCAAAGTCACAAAAAAATAAATAATGAAAGAAAAGGTTTATTTATTTATTTTAATAAACAAATGGCTATTTATATGTTCAATGTTTCATTCCAATTGGATGTGAGATTTTTAAACGGAATTGAAATCGGTTAGAAGTGATTAGAGGTATTTGTTCATGTTTTTGATTCTTAGTTTACACTTCATTCGGTTTTTAATTTTTCGGTTCCGATCTGTCTCACGTTTGTCCTGATTTCGAACATCTTCTTAGAAAGCACACTTCTTAGTAGAACTGAACCGGAACCGATTAGCGGATTAGTGGTATTCGGTCCGCTTTTTGGTTCTTAGTTTATGGCTAATCTGGTTTACAGTTTTCTGGTTGCGGTCCGATTCAGTCCGACTCCAAACTGGTTTACATGCCTAATACCTACAAATGCTTATTCTTGATTACGTATATACTGATCACTATATATTTTCATTCAAATAAATTCACATAAAACTTAGGCCCTATTTGATTTAGATCTGACTGGGTCAGGTCAGACAAAAATGTATGCCTTGGTCAGCTCCATGTGTTTGATATACTTCAATTTTTCATCTGACTCGGTCATAACAAAAAAACTCGCTGACTGAAGTTGATTGAAATCCATTCCACCATTTGCCCCTGAACCAGCACCACCCCCATCCTCCTTCCTCACAACCATCAATTTAATCCCTGGAAAAAGAAACACGAACAGAGGCAGCAAACGAGGTGGTCTGGTGGAAGATTAGCAAAAAGAAACACGAAAAGGGAAGGAAGGGTGGAGCAGATTGGGCACACAGAAGGTGGAGGGTGGGTTATGTGGTCTTCAATCGAGACAAGAAGGAAGGAAATCGAAGGTGGTGGTGGTGGAGCTTGGTCCGGTGATGGCAGATTTGTCGAGGAAGAAAACCGAAACAATTCCACCGCTGCACCATCGCTTCAACTATGCGTTTGTGGCTACACCTTCCTTTCTTTGACGGCACCGGCGCTTTACATCTCCGACGTTACCTTGCCTCTGACATTATTTTGCTTCTCTTGGTTGGACTGATTTCCACCTTTCTTGTCTCTTTACTTGGTCGGCTGAAGGAAACCACTCCAAAAATTGGAGATAAATTAACGCCTATTTTCTCTTTAATAACTCCTAGGGTTTTAAAAGGAAAAGAGAAAAGCCCAATAGGTGTACCTGTTTTTTTTTTTGGATTATACAACTAAAAATAATCTCATAATGAATTTATTTTTAAATTGTTATGTGGTTTAATAGATTAACAACACATTGTTGATTATTATTATTATTATTATTATTATTATTATCCATCACTATATAAAATATCAGGGTAAAATAGTCATTTTACATCAGTCAGCACATTCATGTACCATCAAACAGTATGATTTCTTACTCAGTTAGAATTTATTACTCAGACAGACCTTTCCCAATCAACACTTTTTCAGTCAGCAATTATCAAACGGGACCTTAATGTGTAAATGTATTTTAAAATATTGTTTGTTACATAGCATTTGACTAGATTGAACTAAACTATATTTGTTTTATAATAGTTGTTAAGTCATATACACCTAACCCTACATAAATTTCTTTTTTATTGTACTAGCCATAATAATTAGCATTGAAAACAATAAAGACCCGTTATGGTAACAACTTAATGTGTTACTAGACATGTATTATAATTTATTAATTAAGAGCACTTGTAAATACACAACAAATAAGATTTCATTAGTTTATTACATGGGACCAATCTTTACACGTAGTATTCAAGGTTTTGTCCAAGATTTGATTGAACCCGAGACATACACACCAATCACAAGACCAACAAGAAGAATCACAATCGTATTCACAGCATTCCTTGACGTTTTTAGCTTCGTCGCAAACACACCAACAGCCCGTTTATAGTTTTCTATTGCAGTTTTAGTCGTTTTATCGAGTTCATCCAACGCCACCTTCGTCTTCTTCTTCCTATCTGAATCAATTGGTTTCTTCTCTGAGGCATTTTCACGAATACCTTTCGCTCTCTTTGGTTCAGAAGGTTTCTCTTCGGGTTTTTTGCTCGATTCCTCTACTCCCATCTTAGGAACTTCTTGATCTTTCCTCAAACTGTTCTCCGTATTTGTTTGTGTTGCTGGGGTGGGTTTTTCGTCGGTAGTTTTCTGACCCACATTTGGTACATCAACAGGCTTTTGAGGCGTCGGCACCGGCGCCGCTGCAACTGCCGGCGGGGTTTCTTCAACTGGTTTTGCTTCTGGAGTGATCAATTTGGGTTGCCTAACGAAGAGAATGTTTCCTTCGAATTTTGCACTGATTTTGTTGAGATCGCAGTTTGCAGAAACTGGAAACTCTACACGAAATCGGCTCCATGTGTCTTGCTGGAGCTTTCGTTCACCGCTAATGATCAAATTCCTTGATCGGAGTTGAACCCTCAATTGTTCCTTAGCAAAACCTGCAAATATTTCCAAGAATTTGAAACAAAACACTACAATTGGAAAAACAATGAAGTGATGAAAGAAAACGCACCAGGGAGATATACGAGAAGAGTATCGGAATCATCTTCGGGCACCCACTCCATTGAAGGTTCGAAATCTTGATAAACTCGAGCTGCAGGTGTAGTTATTCCCTTGGCTTCCATCTTCGATTAGCTTTAGGATGTCAAGATTGAGTTCGAAACACTTTGTTGAATTGCAATTCAAAGACTCGATCTCGTTGAATAAATATGCGAACATTTGTCCGAAGATGGTTTGCATTTTGAGGTTTGAATGGTACCAAATTTTGTGAAAGTTTTCTTGCAAAATAGATATACCTTTCCTTCAATTGTGTAGCCTTTTCTTTTTAGTTTCGCATAATGTCGTATGCTTTCTACAATTGCATTTTTTTAAATATTTGATTAAGTACAGGTATAACAAATAAAAACGCATCTTTTTCTTTTGCCCTTCTTCTAATTAATTTCTAATCAAAGACTGATATAACAATTTTGTATAATATATGATATTTACTTGAAATGATATCTTAAGCCATGGCCATGGAGTGTGGAGCATGGAGAAGATGACATAGCTTATTGGTAAAAAAAAAAAACTTAATGACAAGACATGCGTGTGTGCGTGTGTGGTAGGATGGGCATTTAGACCTAATTGGTTTAGAGAATTCCGTGGACCGTGAACCGGACCTAGTGAAATATACGATTGTCGATATTGGTTCAGATTCTGGTCTCAGTTTCCTTTTTTGGACCGGTACAACATTTGTTGTGTATGATACAAGTTGTTGAAGCAGTAGCGAAAAACTTTTAGTTTTGATACCCCGACATCTAGGGACAATAACTTATTCAACATGAAACCAAAAATAAAGAAATTACATACAAAACTCAAGTAAAAACTCTAAACTACATGGTGAAAAATATATCATGTCAATCCGACTTCAAACTAATAAGATATCAATTTCACAGATTATTAATTAAAACTGAAAAGCTGAAAATATTTTAGCTTTGATATCCCGACTTCGAGTACCGTAGGCAGGGACCTATAGAGTGTGTCTCGAGGGATCCTGTTCAAGTACTTGATATTTTTGTATTAATAATTTTTTTTGTTGGTGTGCACCTACAAAAAGTACAATTATAATATTATTGCAGTTTAACCATATAATCAGAAGTTAGGTGGCCGAGTTAGTTTAATTTAATGGTTTAAGGTTCTGAAATGGTGTGGGTTCAAACCTCATTCTCAACAAATTTCTTTAATCATCATGAAGAATGACTTTGTACTTGCTTGGTAGCTTCCAACCTCACTCTAAAAAAATTTCTTTAATGATCATGAAGAATGACTTTGTACTTGTTTGATAGCTTCCAAGAAAAGAAAAGAATCATTCAAATTTGAATCACATTACCTCAGAAGTCACCCTTTATTTAATTCATTCATTCCACAACGAATAACAAGTTTAAATCTTACCCTCTATCCCTATAAGAATCGCATAGATAATCACGTCCCCTCCAAATTATCAGTAGGACTGGTCCATATGTTTTTTTTGTCCTGGGCAAAAAAACTTAACAATGCTTTCATATTACTACCGAACCTATATACAATGCAAAATAATAAAAAGGTAAAAAGTTTCTTTACGTAAAAATTTCATATAAATACAAACCAAATCTTGCTAAAATAACATAAAATGATGTCTTGGTATATTTTTTGAAGCAAAAATATCAATTATGATTAACCTTTCAATCTTTTTTTAAATCATTTAGTTTGCATATATAACCCCACAATTTTAAAAACTTCCTTCTTACCATATGCAATGGATGGAGGAAGGTTGGATTGCAACAAATAGATTTGTTTAACATATAAGTTATACTTTCAACATGTAACTCGTTGGAGAAAGGCACAGATCCTACTCTAATAAACACAAAAAAAAAATCAACTCTAAATCAAACAAATTATTAAATACTCCGAGCTGTTAACAAATTGTTGTTTTATTAAGACCAAAATTAGCAAAAACCTTTTAATAACATCTAAATACTCCAATCCTATTCAAGCAAACTCAAACAAAACCATTTTATTGTAACACTGAAAATTTTCAAATAAAATTTTCATTTTTAAAATCACATAATCCCATTATCACATTTCTCAAAACTGCAAATGTTTAAATTGTCAAAACAAAAGTCAACAAATGTTTGGTAATATCCCAAAATCCTTAAAAACATAATCTCCAACTGGTGTGTACAATCAAGCCGGCGCCTTCCCGCGATCCTGAGAAGTACCTGAAACACATATCACACAACACGGTATGCACAAAGCTTAGTGAGTTCCCCAAAATACCACATACACAAATAATAAGCCTCTCATGCCTATAACTCGGCATGGACCCTCCAGTCATGCGTCTCGGTGAGGACCCTTCGGTCTCACGGCTCGGTGTGGACCCTCCGGTCATGTGTCTCAGTGAAGAGCCTCCGGTCTCACAACTCGGTTTGGACCCTCCAGTCCTATCTCAGTAAAACATAGAATAATATAACACATATCACAAAGACAAAATGCATAATATCACATAACTCAGTATAAGCACATAAGACTCTCCGGTTAATAACTCAATAAGACCCTCCGGTCACACAGTACTACCACTTAGGTAAGTATAGTGAGAAGACACACCTCGGAAGTAAGCAAGTAGACCTAGCACCCCACGAACAGTCTAGACTCCGCCCACATAATATAATTATCTCTAATAAGAAAATTGTAATAACCACTTGATATGCTAAGCTAACTCCCCCACTGAATCTCAAAAAGGGTGAAAAGACCATTTTACCCCTCCATGGTCTCTAAAGTTCACAGTTGACCAAACCCTAAAAGTCAATGAAAGTCAACGCTCTAGTTAACAGTCCAAGTTGACTAAACTCGTCGAGTGCATCTATACGACTCTTCGAGTTCCTCCGTTTTCTCAGAAATATCATGAAAGCCCAACTCAACTCGTCGAGTTGTCTCATCAACTCGCCGAGTTACAACATGTCTAGACTCGTCGCGGAAAACCCTAACCGACTCGTCGAATCAGCTCACCGACTTGTCGAGTCCGTTCAGACCAATTCCTCATTCAGGCGTCTTTAGGTAGAAATAACGTCTCATACTTTGGATCTAACCTTCTAAGGCTCACTTTTCATGTAAAGCTGCAAGCTTTACGTTCATGCATGGCATCTAGGGCTCAAAATGCCAAAACAAGCTCCATAAAGGGTTTCATGCATGGAGACTTGCCCAAAGCTTGATAAAGCTTGGATCTTTGGGCTCATGGGACCTCTTTTTGTCCAGATCTGGAGTCTCAACTCCATGACAAGCTCCAGCAACTCAAGAACCACAAGATAAGGGGGAAAAAGCCCTAAAACTCCCTAGAAGGAGATATATCAAAAGAAATGCTCAAGGTGGTAGCTTTTTACCTCCAAACTGAAGTTAGCACAGAGAAACACATGATCCACAAGCCTCTTCTCATTCCAATGCTTGATGCTCTTCACTCTTCTTCCAAATGTGCACTAAAACACCCAAAGTTAGCTCCTCTCTCTCTCTCTCTCTCTCTCTCTCACACAAATGGATACACACGATTAGGGTTTCTCACAGAGGGTTAGGATGATAAGGGAGGCATAAATGAGGGCTTAAGGTCCTTTAAATAGGACATAAACCCTGAAAATTAAGGTTTTCTCACCCAACTCCTACTCGTCGAGTCGGGGTCCTCCGACTCGTCGAGTAGACTCTAAAATCCCGCGGCCATTACACTCTCTACTCGGTGAGTTGGTACTCCCAACTCGTCGAGTTTCCCTGCCAAAATGAATGAAATTAGTTAAATAATATGTTTGGGACTCGGGATGTTACATCTATCAGTTCTACTATATTAGTTCTTTATCCTAACATACATGTACATGTATTGTAATAGATAGTATAGTGAAATAACTCATGTAACGTCCCAAAAATTAAGACAAAAATTTTTCGTTTTTATAATTAATAAATGTAACGTCCCGTTTTTATAACCAAAAATTTTCATTTTTATTATGATAAAACTTCCCAATTTATCAATCCATTATTTAAGAAAGTCATTTATTCCAAATTACATTTATTAAAAATAGAGTATTGTAGAAAACGCGGAATCTTCAACGTTGTTGTTGAGTGTGTACAGTCCCGCCTTTGCCTTCCCACAATCATCGATTATACCTGAAACCACAAAAAACTAGGTAACCATAAAGCTTAGTGAGTTTCCCACAAAATACTCCATACGATAAACATATAATCATGCATAACTGCCGCTCTTTGGCCTTCAGTCTAACCAGTCCGGAATACCAGGGTTTGTTGGCCTACCGCCTCAACCCAACCACTCCTCCCGAGCCTCTGTGCCTTCGCCTTACAGCCGGCCCGTACAAGGTATGTTGGCCTACATCGCAAAGCAGGACCGCCTCAACCCACCACCACCACATGTCGAGATGTAAACAAACAAGGATCAAGCAGACACATAAATACAGGCAAACTACAATCATACAACTTACTCCTGCCTACTAGTCATCTCACAGCACATAGTCCCACTACCAACGTTTAACGCCCGTGTTTCGAGGCTAAGCATTGATACGATGATGTAATAGTTAGGGTCAACAAATGTAACTTATTTTAAAGTAATAAAGAGGAATTACTTGAATATTATGTGGATTATGTGATTTTATGTGCATTATTCTTATTTATATGATATAATAAATTAAGAATGAAAATAAGTGCCAAAAAAACAAAAATATAGATAAACCCGATATATGAAGAAAGTTGTAGTGGTCGTTACAAGGATTCTATAGATATAAAGAACGCCGAAATCCGAGTTGTAACGAATAAGTTATGACATGTTGAAGTTTCGCGACAAAACGGGCACAACGTTATGTGACGTAAAAAGTGAGTTTACGATAAAGTGCTTTTTAGCCTTAGCGATCTAAATGAAAGTCGTAGTATACGTTAAAACGAGAGTGTGCATAAAAAGAACGTCCAAATCTGAATTCGTATGAGGAAGTTATGGATTTTCTAAGATTTGGCATAACAGTGTGCAGCCCAGAGTTTGAATTTTAGATCAAACGATTTTTAGCCGACACAACCTAAATGAGAATTGAATATCTTATTAATATGAGTTCAACGACAAAAAGACAGTTAAGAACGAAGTCGATATGTAGAAGTTATGAATTTTACACGGTCGTTAAACAACGTAATCTTCCCATACTGTTAAATTTAAAATTAATCGAGAATTAGCCGACGGT